CGAACAAAAGTAAGAGAAATTTAGGATAAGAATATGAACATGTTCTTGCATGAGGCCCATTGTCTCTTTCAAGACACTCCTAAAAACTCACTTTTTCACGCAAGCGTTTAACCATTTCACCATTACTATCAGCCTAGCTCCATTGTGAATGCTTCGCCAATCTGTGTTTTCTTTATTATTGAACTTATGCCATATTTTTCTCTCCCGCATTCATTATGATTTTGTGTATTACTGTATATTTTGACATGCATTGACCTTGTGTTTGATTTACAATTTTAGAAATTAATTCTTGATTTGATGTTTCAATTTTTGTTGCTTATGTTTAATTATGTTTTTCTGTTTCATTTTATTCTTTCCACCATTTTATACTGTTAATGATTGTACAGCACCTTATATGCACCTCAAATGCAAGACATTTGGTTTTTGCCATTTCCAAAGCCGATTAACAACAAAGGAGCACCCTGACCCCATACCAGCAACTGCTGGACAGGTTTGTCCATCCATTTTCATGGTCAGAAGTTATTTAAATAATAATAATAATACTTCACGTGTTTTTCTTGGGCACACAATGTAGCTTGCTAGCAGCTAATGGCTGATGCCAGATAAGATTGTAGAAACATAAACGCTTACCTTTTTATCAAATTGGTTGCCGGACATTGCCGGTCCTCTACACTGTAGCCAACGCTTTAGTTGAGTGTTGCTGCATCCCTCTATACAATCATACTCAATTTTGGCACAATCTTCGTTTACGTTTATATGAAAAAAAAACTTTGGATTCAGGCCTGATGTATGCGGTCTGCTGCGAAATTTGTCTGACATCCGGGACTTTGGGGATTTCCGGAAATTCTCGTAATGTCATCCCTGAAATGCTATTAATCTTAGCAAACAAAAAATGGCTATAGCACAGCTGAACAGATACTAAGCTAAAATGTAGACTTGTATTGCCAAAAGACTGTTTGAGACCTTGCAGTATTGCATTAGATCATTCAAAGTAATATATTTATTTGACTAAGTGACTAAAATGCTGTAATTCTCTGCATTTTTCCAATATAACATTTTAGTTTATAACTGTCATTAAACATGCATTCCTTCAAGAAAATTGTCATGTCTTTATAATTTTTATAAATTACATATTTTTTAAAAAAAAACTTTTGAATCATTTTCATAAAGTATTTTACATTTAACTGACACAAAATAAAATAAAATAAAATTCTGACAGATGTTTTCTCAGATGCAGCTGTGTATACAGTTATTTCTCACATTGCAGAGTTTAAAACTTGTTGCAGACAAAGAAAACAACAAAGGATACACATGTCCAAGAAAATTAGGATGGATTTATTTTTACAGAACCCAAAAATTTAAATTGTTATAAAAGAAAGCCAGTATTGCCGTATTCTGTGCTCTAACAGTGTTGTATTGACTCACACATCAATAATCTGTGCTCTTTAGGTTTGTCAACTGGCGGAAAAAAAAAAAAAAACTGCTGTATTTCTGTACATTTAGTCTGTCTTTTTTTTCAGCACAAATAATGTATTTTTAACCAAGTCCTTATAAGTTGTAATAGTGGAAACCACGTTCTGCTTTCTGAAAGCAATGTCTCTATTCGTTACAATAAACTTGGTAAAAAGCTCATATTGCAAATAAAAACCACAGAGTGGTTTAAATCTACTGAGAGACTATTTGGGTCTTGTCTATTTTGGCTTACAGATCAAAGCTGAAAATGAATGTAACCACAATTGTTTGTTTCTTATGTAAGGTAATTATTTACAAATATGTTTTTCTTTTTCTTCTCCTG